CTGACCTGCATGTTAGTATTATCGAAGATCCCGAAACACAAGTTGTGGATAATCTTTGGTGTCGTAGGCATATAAGGTGTGGTGATGTTTGTTTACTGGCAATAGTTTACTGCCTTCCAATGAAAACGGATAAGCACTTAGCTTCAGCGATGATGCGAGTCCCGATACGACCATACAGTCAAGTCCTGCGGCTGGAGGACTTCAATCTTCAAGCAATCGAAATCCCAGCACTGCTCAACGAACAATTCAAGACCGGTTTGTAAAAGTTAATTGCCGAAGTACCTATGTACAACCATGTCACTTCTTTCACACGATGTAGAACAGGTGATGCTATATCTGTTTTGGACCTAGTGCTTATCAACGAGGAACAAATGATCGATACCATGACCACAGAGGCACCGCCTTGTAGTAGCGATCACGCTATGTTGATTTTTATTTAGCTCTGCTACGTAGAATCCATCAGTGAGAGGAACGGTGTAATCTACCGTTTGGCCGATTACTATATCCTGTCCTACCTCATACAAGAAACCGACTGGTCCTTTCTAGCCGAGCAGATTTCCAAAGCCACCTGCGTGATGTTTGTCACCCAATTCACCTGGCCGTTGACAAATGTGTCGGAAGGTAAGGTCGTTTTTCTCGAAGCAAATAAACACATTCCTTAGGAACGGCACTAGCAAATGCGCGACGTAAGGGATTCGGCATGGCGCCCTTACAAAGTCTGCCCGAGTAATCAGACTTGGGAGGTTTACACAACTCAATGCAACCACTGTGTCAAGTTGCTCCGCGAAGGCAAACTCCGGCACCAACAGAACTTAACGGCGAAATTCAGTACAAATCTTAAATTGCTGTACAGACACGTCAATAAGCCTCGCAGAGTGCAGCGCGCAATCGCGGTTTTCCGTGCAACACATGGTCTGGTACAAACTACACATGACGCGGCCAACGCACTTCACCAACATTTCACCCACACTTTAATGTGTGAATCAACACCTCAATCGCTTTTGACAAAGCTCCCATCGCTTCCAGGGTTGAACCACATGTGGTTCAGGGCAGTCAATGTGATGAAAAGTATTGTCCATGCGCGTAAACAGCTCTCATGGTGTGGACGACATCGAAAGGAACGCATTGAAGATATCCATCATTAACTATGCTGAATCATTAGCTTGGTTCCGACAACGGTGTCTTAATGAAATGCAGGTTCCCACAATGCGCAAACAAGGAATAGTCACGATTAGTTAAGAGTGTGGGAATCGTGCGGAGCCCTCGAACTACAGTTCGATCACTCTCCTCCCAGTGTTATCCAAACTAATGGAGAGTATAATCACAAAGCCGCTCATGGAATACCTTGAGAGTAACAACCTCACAGTGTCACAACAGCACGGATTCCGCCGAAATCGGTCTTGCACTACCAACTTGCTGGTAGCCCGAGCAAGCTAGACAGAATTAATCGATGCCAGAGTAGCAGACAACATAGCATAGCTAGATTTCTCCAAATCGTTCGATCGTCTAGACCACCACATTCTCATTCACAAACTTCAAAGCTATGGAATCCGTAACCCTATACTCGGTTGGATCAGCAATTTCCTCGCTCAACGTCAGTTGATTGTGAGTCAGCAGGTTTATTTCTGGCCCAATTGATGTCCACTGTGGCGGGCACCAAGCAACGGTCATGGGGCCACATTTAGTCATAGCATTTATGTATTATCTTTCTAGTGAATTGCATTCGAACTTCTTGCTCAGTACGGACGATGCCAAAATCTGGTATGACCTCCAGACACTGGACCATCACAAGGCACTACAGAACGATCTTGTCAGCGCTTATACTTGGTCATCCGAAAACTGTCCCCAGTTTAACTTGGCGAAATGCAGTTATGAGAATACGCCATCAGCTTACCAATGAATATCGACTTGTGGCCCAGCTGTTGCAACGTGCTTCCGAGGAATATGACCTCGGGGTGATCGTACAGGAGGACCTTGGCTATTCATGACAGGCTGGAAAGGCTTCGATAAAAGCCAATAATTTTCTTAGATTATTACGGAGAGCTCTCAGAAATTTCGGGCCATCAATCTTTCCGAAAGTGATGAACGCCTAACTGAGGCCCTACCTGGAATATGCGATCAAGTCCTGACGCGACGTTGGTGCACCTGAAGCACCGCAACGTACAGCAACCAGTCGTTAGAGGACTATTTCATCTCCCCCAAAAGCGCAGACTGCAGTCGCTGAAAGGGTACAGTGGTAAATATCGATATCAGCGTAGAGATCTCATCATGGTTTACTTAATACTGACAAACGCAATTTACCCTTGTCACAACCTTTTGCTGCTGAGCCCAAATACCAGAAGAAGAGGCCATCAACTCAAACTTGCTACGGACCACAGTCAGCTTGATTGTTGAGAAAATGTTTCTAACCTCCGGGTGTCACGAACGTGGAACGTTCGGGCAACTCACTTTATTCTTACCCCTACAGTAAGGCTTTTCGAAAAACGTCTTGATAAAACATTTTCCTACTTGAATTACTTGACATATTCTACTTCACTCGAAGGACGAAATAACGCCAACCAAACTTTATGCTTAGCAGCTCAATCTGCAACGTGCCGGTGAGGATACTTGCATAAGTGTCCTTGTCAGTAGCTTGGAAATACCTAAACTGGCTTAAAGTTTCACTTTGGTCAAATGTAGCAGCACACTAGTGAGCGCCGTCATTTCCTTTTTTGATTTCTCACGGAGTAGGTGAAATATTATTACTGCACTCCATACAATTTTGTGTATGCACATCTCATTTCCATTACAAACGTGCGTTGTGCTGCAGTACCATTAAGTCAACAGAAGCTTAGAATGACGATTTACTCATCCTTTGATTCGTTTCATTTTCACTCCGCCCCATCCTACGGAACATGTCATGCATATAATTGTTTACCGTGCTAAATCATTATTCATTGTTATCAGTTGTACTCCCTGGTCCAATATTGTCAACATTTGATTCCTAACTGCACGAATATTATGTTACCAATGACTGAACTACTGCGCGGTAATCACGTTTTTCCATTTCCAGATGGCTCTCGAGTGGCATTTGAGATGTGAAAACGTGCTGCCCCCTAATGCACCAACGCAGGAGTGAAGTTAATCTTATATTCGAACAGGCTTCTATGAAAGCAGAAGCCCCATAACACCTACTGAATCCATGACCTCATGCTGGGTGTTTCATTTTTCATTTACTCGGAGGTCTTCAATTTTTGGTGAGAAGTCTTAAGTTTGTGGGCATACTACTAGCTTAATATCCCTAGTTAAGACAAAGATTGGCTTTTTCAGAAGACACAGGGGTTATTTACATACAACCAGCGCGCTCAGCAAAGGATATACCTTAAGGTGCATGTTGGTTGTTTTAATATACGGTACTTCGCAACAGGAAACAGAAGGTTTTTGACGACATTTATGCTTTTAAAATATTGCATCCATAGTGTTGTTACTAATAATTACGAAAAGCGAGTGCACTTATTTGATCTCCTCAATACTGCTGTATAATCGATAAACGGCGGCTTAATTCATATAACGGATTTGGTATCTTATGGTTTACTGTTCATCGCAACGCGTCTGGCTGACGGGTTGGAACGTCTCACTAAATAAAGTATTTCTAGTAAATGGAAATAAATTAGTCCTACCAACGCTAAGGAAATGCAGATTATTGGCACAATAGTGCAGTCCATCACCGACTGCGGTTTCTAAATATCCACTCTCTGTGTTCTCCTGATGGGCATGTAAGGAACCTTGGTGAATAATTAGGTTTTTGATGTACAAACTCACCCCCGTTTTTGGGAACCTCAAAAGATGGAACCTTTGCCAAAATTAGGCGTCTTCAGCCCAGGTAGTGATGCTTATTTCATACATATACATATATATATATATGATGTACTCATGAGTAGAGGATTTTTGATGTATTGAAGTGGGGTTCTTCGCAGCTAGTTTCCAAATCAGATAGTCGTCCACATGCCCGGAAAAACACTAGACTGCAGTATCAGCCTGTTGGGCATCATCAGTAGTGAGCATCCAACGGCTCCGTCAGGATTCGAACCCATGACCACCAGCGGCTTGAACCGTCAGTCAGCAGCTTATGCCACTGGGCCACGGAGGACAGCTTCGGACCGTCATGATTTACAAGCCGACTGCGATATAGCGCGTCTTATCCTCCACTGCCATGCAAGTTACGAACGTTGCAGAAGACAGGGCTGGCCCCGAAAGACACGACGTCCACTGACAGTAGCTATGTACGACATAGCATTTAGAATCTGTTAGGGCAGGTATATTTCGATGTACTCATTAGTAGGGGATTTTTGCTGTATTGAAGTGAGGTTCTTCGCAGCCAGTTTCCAAATCACCTATATATATATATATATATATATATATATATAATTGCATGCAACACGCCAACCTGAGTAGGGAACATAATCCCTGTACTGTATGTATTCCTTACTGCCTGAGATTTCATCGTCAAGCGTGGTACAAAAAATAGCGCATGTCTACTCAGAGCGTTGCTGAAATATAGGTTACCCACTTATTTCAGGTGTGCAAGAAGACTTATCTGCAATGGCAATACTGAAGTGCTGTGCTTCTTGTTAGAAACTTACGCTGATTCCTGCACAGCTAGTTTTGGTTATCTCAAAATTCACAACCTTTCTTGCGGTTTATTAAGGAGTGCCTGTTCAAGAGAGCTTATTTTATCCTTTTGAAGGATTACACCTAATGACATATGCTGGCACAGTGTTTATGGTGTGACGTAAATTGTATAGACTGATTGTCACATGGCTTATAAATATTGAGTAACAGCAATGTTGCTGCATCTTCATTTCCACAAAAGCAAATTAGTATGCATCCTTAGCGAACATGAGCCCACCGATTCAACCTCCCAAAAGGCATAGTCGAAAGAGGCCATCTTAACTGAATAATAAGTTACTAGGTGAAACGAACGTCAATATGAAGCACAGCCCCATTCTCAGCGAACTCACCTGTAACTCTCACCTTATACTTGATCATTTGCTGTGTCCGCCCAATCAAGCGACAAGTGTAAGTTCCAGCATCCGAAGTCTGTAAAAAGTTGATCACCAAGTCCCACATTTGATGCTGCTTAATCAAAATCCCTTCGTGAGACCGAATATTTGTTTGTTGTGACCTAATAACTTTAGTGGTGTAGCTGTCGGCTGATGAGGAGCTGGATTGGTTTGTGGAAGTAATCAGTCTGTATCGTGTGTTGGTAGAGAAACTGGCCCAAACGACAAATATCGGACTGTCATCCTTTTCCCATATTGTTGCCTATGGCGGGGTATATAAAGGAATGGTATAACAGCGATGCAATAGATTGCCACAAAGAGAAAAACGCCAACAACATAGATGCATCCCTCAGTAATCAAAAATTGTGATTCGTCCATCTGTGTACCACGTATCTAACCACTGTCTGTTTGGAAATGAGCCATATTCTGTCCTTGATATCCAATCCTATTAATACACAGCACCACAAGATAAACACTTCAAGCGATTCCGATGAATTACTGCAGCGAACAACTAATCTTTGCAGTTATACTTTACAAGTATGCTGTTAATACCGAGACGTGTGATAATCCCACAAAAAACAGGTGCACTATTTCTCCCAGCTAACTTCGCTGGGATTTCCGGTGCTTCTTCCATTATTTTGATCAAGCTTGAAGGACTTTTCGTTGTACTTACTAGCATTCAGATATACCAGTTGTGCTTTACAGGCTAATGCCAGGTCGTCACTCTGGTGTCTTCTACCTCAAAACGCACCCTCACAACTTGGGCTTGTTACTTTTGATTAGGTATAATTGGTCTTAGCGGGAGAACAATCCTGAGTTTTAGAGCGGTCACTGACTAATCCAATTCAAATACTGTATAGAACAGCCGTCGGTAACTATGTCTACACACTATCGCAAAAGCAGCATTTTGTGTTCCACTGGCAATCCGCTCCCGTACCGTTTGCGACTACCTTGCGCCCTGCCACCGTTCTGAATCCCTTGATAGCTCGCACGCTGCCCCAATATGCCCATGCTCACGTGACCGTGGTCTTAATGATTGGCATGAAACCAAACGTGGTACGTATCGCCCGCGTAGTAAATTCGCTTATTTGTCAACATGAGAACCAAGCTCTTAGTTATGCTGTCAGCATAACTGCCAAAGATCCCCTAATTGCAACACGTGTCGGTTTGAGAGAAATATCAGCAAATAATGTTACTTTGACACCGAGGAAAACCAAAACCAAAACTAACTGATTGATGCAAGCGGAAATGAGTGCATTTGAAATGTGTAGCAGAAGTATAACCATGGAAATCGTGGTTCAAGACTTTAGATGTCAACTTAGTATTATCGCAGCGATTCTCGGGCCATTGATGACATTAACTTATATCGGTAGCTCGGGTTGGCTGTTTGAGTCTTGAGTGGTTTTCCAAGCCGTACATTTGGATTGTAGATGGTTCACAAAGATTCGGAGTGGCGTTATTCGTGTATAATGAAAAATAGATTGTTAGCAGATACTGAGCTTTGGGCGAATCCATGCAATAGTTTACTGCAACTGGGTTTACTCAAGATGTGGCTCCGGCACCGGCCGAATTATTTATTCTAATCAAAAGACAGCAGCTTGATAAGATTTTAGGTTATTTATACCAAAATGATACGACCATGTGAAATTGCTGTGATCAATTGATTTAAATAAAATGTCTCTCATCTGCTTTTTTATCCATACCGGGTATGATATTTAAAGGGGGATACTTTATTCTTTTTTGTATAAATCAAACATGATACGTAGGTCCTAAGTGGATGCGGAGATAACCAAAGCAACATTAACTTAAACATGTGTTCAAACAATGTAGCCTCAACTGTCGAAGTTATCCATCTTCGGAAGACATGGTTATTTGTATCCCAAAAGCAGCAGTGCGTAGTTGGACTACATAGATGTTGAAACTCTCTACTCCCAAACTGTTCGTGTATTAGTCAGGTGACGGGATTCATGGATTGGCCGCAGACGACTGACATACCCTCAGCCTTTCTTTGCAAACACAGCAGTCATGGTATATCGAGAATAAAAGGAATACGGTAGTCAAGTCAAGGTAAACTTTGTGTACCCAAATGGGTGCATTGTCAGCACCTTACAGTATCAACCGCTGATGAAGTGGAATGATATCTAGAAAAATCCGAGATCTTTTAAATGGCTAAAAGAAGTGAATAGCGCGCACTTCCAATTGTCACCGCCGTGCGATGGGCTCCCGATGGGTGGCGGATGAGCGTCCAATAGGCCCACGATTGGCAAACATTGTCTCAATCATCGGGCGCTGGCCGAAAAAGTTTGAGCGGACTCCCCTTTGAACGCTGTTTTCCCCAAACTTTGCAACCAATAAGAAAAGAATAGCCGTAATAACTCAGTTACTACTACTGGCTACACATTAATGCACTTCCACATATCTGGCGATATACACGACACATATGGAGGACATTGTGTATTACAGTGCACAGGCCTCTGTACCTACTTCTGTGGGTATATCCACATCTTCCGCTTTAGAATTTTATGTCTATATTTCAATGTACCTCTAGATAAGATAACACTTTACTACCATCCGGTGAGTATTGCGCATCGGGCGCTGGAGTAACAGATGGTGCTAATAAGGCTAGTGCCACTCAAGTAAAAGTACCCGCATTCTTGAGCACAGAGCGCAACTTAATCAACAGAATCATCGTTTTATATCCCGCAGACGGAATGGGGTTTCGCAATGATCTTACTTTATACTTATTTTCTACTCGCCCAAACATTCGTGGCCAAAAGTAAACAGTGCGCGGCATCTAGGCTCAGTATTCGAAATATGGAGAGGAAGACGGTCTTAGTGCAGTTGCAAATACTTTGGCCAAAATGGTTGTCAAAATATTCTCACAAAACTTAGATATCCACAGTAGATAAAGCGAAAATGATGTTCATTGAAAAGGCAGTGGCTTATTTTATGCCCCGCCGTGGTATAATCAAGTAAAGTCAAGAACGCGCTTTGATGCACCCAGGAAGGGAAAATCCTCCGCCGTGACGTCGTTGAGCTACCTAATCTGCTTCATTCAGGCACCTACTAGTGACAGATCAAGTCATCATAATTTACTTGCAAAACTTTACTGCATACAAGTTCTGTCAGCAGAATGACGGGAGGAGGCGAATCGATATTCGCTAAGCTAACTCTTGTCGTTGCTTACTTCTTTAGAAGAGATGGAGCAATCGATAACCGACAAGCAATTCTTCATTGCTCCTTACTTACTTGGTGCATAAAAGCAAACTAAACGCTGACCAGTGAGGTGGCTTTGTGTCCTAGCTGGATTCACTGGTTTTCTGGTACAAAAAGAATGTCCCAACAGGGAACGGTCTGTCTCCTAGTACTATATCGCAGAAATAAAAGTCTTCTGCGTCATCATGTCCAGTGTCCTCAAAAGGGCTTCGTTACAGTCATATTTTCTAACTGACTCCAGTCACATGATGCCGTTTGATCCCAACGGCAACCGAGAATAAACTAGTAAGATTTCAGAAGGTTTGAATACAAATCGGTTTTGCTAGGATTTTATTGTGGCACAATATTATTGTGCCACAATAAAACCCTAGCAAAACCGATTTGTATCCAAACCTTCTGAACTCATGAAATCACAGTCGGTTCCAAGCATATTCCAAGATATTGAAACGAGTAAGATCTGAAATCGGTTCACTAAAACTTTATCGACACTTTCCCTAGTGCCACGGTACAAAATTTCATATAGTTGGGGACCTGTAGTTTCACTTTACAGTGGTTCTCATATCCATTGATTTTGTGGCAATGGTATCATGCCTTTTAAGTATTACCACTCGATAACCAATCACTCTGCCATTTTATACTAGCAAGATTCTACCAAGTGTGTCATGGAAATTTGCATCGATTTAGCGGTTTTGAGCCTATCTGCGCGGCAATCGTCTTTCCTCTCTAAGGGTTGGATTTTAAGGAGTACACCGGAAGCATGCTCCATACTACTTTTGCAAGAGTGGTTACATTAATAAACCGCTCATTCTGGATTGTATATATGCTTGTACATCCCACCGGAAATGTTGTCTCCCTAAGCGGTGCATTTGGGCAAGGACACTAATCGTGTGCAAGTCACTTCCTGAACTTATCCAGGTTTTCACCATTGAATCTAGACAGTTGATCGTGTCGTCTTAGCGTAGGTGCTCGGTTAAACCAACGCATCACAGGACGCTTGCATACGCCATTTTTTCACCTTCACGCTCCACTTACCTCCCAAATGAAAGGTTCGTCTCAATGTAGACCAATGCAAGTTTAACTTCACCAACGCGTTGAAAACTACTCGCATAGAGATTTGACTTAACAGCCCGGGATCAAATAAACGTGTCACACGCGAATGCCCCCCTTAGTGTACTTCACACAAATAAACCCCAGAAGTTCAGGACGAGCAGAGAGGAGAAGAATTTAATTTGGACAGCACTGGTATATCGATAATTGAAGATATCCGCTTTTTGGTAAACTAAGCAGAATCTGTGTTCATTAACTTGTGTTTTCATGAGCATATTTCAGCCGTTTACATTAATATCAAAACCATTCGCTGTCAATCGCGATTTGCCTGCCATTTGTGAACGCGTTCACTACATACTAGTTCAATCAATCACATGATTTATAATGACTTGATGACGCAAGTCTGGTGGCTGTTATGGGCAAAGCGCACAAAAACCAATACCCAAATATCCATTAATTTCTCTTATCAATATTTCTACCGAACGGAAAGCCGATTGCTGCGTTTATATCGGGACACAAATGATGCCTCAGAGTGCGCACCATCATACGGTCTGCGCTTGCTGGTAATAGCTGTTGGAAATAGTCATATTCGGTTTAAGGAAATACGATTCGGTCGCCTTCATGTTTCGATGATAGTTGTCCCTAGAAATTTCTACGAAATCAAAGTGGTGTAATGTTCATGAATGATATTTTGTCTGACAGCGAAAGTAAAGCAATAGACTACTTCTCTAACGATTAGTGCTCATAACTGCAGGTATGGTAAAGTGTACTTTAGCTTACTCTGGTGTCCCGAAATCGACAGATATTTCAGGATCACAAGCGTATACCCCTACCTCCTGCAACACACCCCGCGGAAATAAATGCAATGGTCCATATGAACATATGCTTCCTATATGATGTAGTGTTAGTAGCTGGCGTGTAACTGAGTCCACATTTTCATTCTCTTGTTGGATACGTTTAGT